AGTGACATACATAGATGCAGTTACTGAAACCTTGTGTTTGCACAAATTACATGTAGAATCGGTTTATCACCACGAGGGTACAATCAGAGAGCAGGAAAGTAATATATGGTATTGACTAGAGCAAAGCACTACAAGAACAAGTGTCCCGACGGATAAATTACGGTTTGTATCCGTGGCATGCGGATAAAACCGTACTCAAAGATCGTCGAGGGCGTGAACCTCTTTCTTGTCTCATACAGAATAAACTCTGAGAGTTCATGCTGCATCCAGCTCAAGATCAACCGAGTGAAGCGGAGGACCGAGCGAGGCAAGAGACGTCAATATGCAGATCCACACGATACTGCGTTCTCCCAAACTCTACTGGTGAAGCTGAAACCGGAAGGCACCAAGTTGTACGGTAGAAGCTGTACATGATTATATCTCACAATCGATTATCGGATATCTAAGAACCCCGGTACAGAAAAAAGAAGTCGCTAGACGCCGTGTCCGCTAAAATCAGTACGCCACTCTCGTCCGCATATCCTATACAAGAGTTAGTTGAATGCTCGCACAGCATGGTACCGGGTAAAACATACCGAGATCTTCCGTTCAATTTCTCGCACTGAACGGTCAAGTTCCGCAGCAATCATCATCTTCGTGTCATTAGGTAATAAGAAATACGTCTCACATAAGTCACCGTCAATGACGCCTTTGACAGGCGCATAGTAACTCCGGTAAATGAGGTGGTCCCGTCCCGCAAGAGGAGGGTTCTGTGCTGCCAATTGCATCTCGAGGTTTTGGAAGAAGTCGACGTCCTCTCGGCTGACAAAAGGCACGAGCATTCCAATAGTACCTTGGAATCCAGACCAGACGAGAATATCTCGCCCACCGGCTACAAGCTGGGTCTTGTGCAAGGTGGTCGGAATGTCCTGGGTGTAAACATGGATCATGAGCTCCAGACGGTTCGGGGTACCGTGGAGATAGCCACGTTCATGGATCAAATGTGCGCCCGATCCATCCTCATCAGCCTGTTCGGATATCTTCTTGGGACACCGCAGCATCCAGATATTGCCGAACTTGTCACCACCAGCGGTGGTTTCATAGTCAACCATTGTCGTGGACGTCGTCCAGCGCGAGACGGAGTCGTCCACAAACGGAATCAAAACGTTTTCCTGATATTTGTATACAACATATGTAACACTCTCACGAACGTCACTCACGACAATCCTGCTGCCTTGTGTCTGGAGGCCCACGATCGTCTTCGGAACCACTTGGGCATTGCATTTCCTGAGAAGTTGTTTCATTCCCAAGTCATAGATCCGGAGCATTGAGCCAATACCAGCAGCCAGTCGGCCTTGGAAACCAAGTAGAGCGAGAGGAGGTTCTTCGACCTTGGTCTTGTGGATGAACTCGAGCTCTCTTCCATCTTCTTGGAACCTGTAAATATGGATGTATCCTCCGGCGGAGGATGGAGGGTTGACATTCATGTCTTTTGCTGTTCCTACAACGAGGAAGGTCTCATCATCCTGACTAGTGAAGGGAACAGCTGCAACACTGACAGCAGCCTCATTTTCTTCAAGCTCAATTGTCGAGATAACAGCCTTGGCGTGTACTGGGTCAACAACCTGGATACACGAGGCCCAGTGACCAGAGCCCCGCGGATATCCAAATTCTTCGGGGGGTAGCACGGTTTCGTCACCAGTACGTGCCTTGGAATCCTCTAGTAGTTTCGCTCTAGTGGCTGGCGACAGAACATTGTTGTCTGATTCAATGACATAAAAAAGTGGTTGCTCAGGGTGTTTCAAGAAACGGCGGGGGGTGTAAGCGAGAGAAATCGACTGCTGCAGCATATTGTTGTCAAGCTTTTCGATGGAGAAGATCCTATCACGTCAGTTAGCAAATGCAAATATTCGCAAGAAGTAGCTGATGTGTAATTTTCAAGATAAGCTTGATCTCAGTAGGAACAATTGGAAATAAAATAATAATAAGCTTCCACATGGGTTTTGGGGTCCCATATTCTCATCATACGATCAGGGTAAACGGAGCAAAGGAAACAGGGAATGCATCATACCTAAGGTTTTGGCCTTGAATACCAACCATGCCTTCCAGACACTGCTCACTCGAGAAATTCCAACCCCATTCAAGTGGCACGTAATCCAATGGAGTAAGCATGAAGCCCTTTGTCTGAATGTCTGAATAGCCCAGCCAAGGACGTGAGCTCAAAGCCAAGACAGCGGTTTGCCCTTTAACCGAGACCTGGAATAGCTTGACGGGCTTCGAACCTAGAAAACGTGTACGCGTATCCGAAAGTTCACCAGTCACCTCATCCAATACTGTTCGAAGGTATACACCAGAGTACAGACCGATGTGAAGATAGAGTGTCGTCCCGCCAGAGCTGGAATCAGACATGGACATGATGTTCAAGGCGGACGGGGCTGCAGTAAGGGCCTGGACAGACTTGTTTTCCAAGGTGGAATCAGGGTCTAAGCTCAGAATGCGGACTGTGGAGTCGTCACATCCGACAGCCAAGAACGAGCTCCGAACACGACCTTCAGGGACCTGCCCCAGACTGAGACATGTCACAGTGCCGGACATCTGGCGACGTTCGTCGTATTCAGCAAGTGTCCCATCAGAATCCATCTCAAAGTACACGATCTCTCCGGAGCTCAGTGCTACAGCGACTTGGCGCTCATTTGTCGCGGCTGCCACGATGGACCGATGTTGAGGTGCAGGCCACTCATTCACTCGACGATCGACCATAATATGACGAATGCCTCGAGGGTGGATTTGGATTAAAGAATCCTCCCCAAGCTGTTGAACGGCAAGAGTAGGGGCAGATGACAGAAAGCCAGTATCAGTTACCTCCTCCACGGTTTCACCGATACTGAGAACGAGAGTGCCATTCGCGAAGGAAAGGATAATGTACGCATCAAACTCATCAGCCCGAGTAAGTTTGGTAGTCCAAACAGCCGAAGGCACACTGGGGAGTTCCGAGTCGACGATTTCAGAGACCTCCAAGCCATGCTTCAGAGTCCTGAACGTGCTACGAGCACCAGTTCCCGAGATAGTATAAATCTGGGGAGCATCTTCTTCAGAAAGGTTGGCAACCTTGCTATCAATTAACGGATTCAGGGAGTTGATAGTCTCAACGAGATTCAGATTTTCCGCACTTCGCGGTCTGAAATATACTGGCTCAAGTGGGACAGAGGGATCCGCAGAGAAGTCTTCACTGCTGAATTCAATTTCCTCGTCATCATCACCGAGCTTCTCAAATTGGTAAAAGTGGTGATTCCCTGCCTCACTGGCAACATACAAGAAACCACTCTTCAGGATCAGCAAGTTCGACGCGACGGGAACCGTGTCGAAGTATTTGATCTTCAGTCTTTTCACTTCGCCAGTCAGTTGACCATTGTCGTCTTCGACCATGTCAATGGTGAGTTTGAACAGGTCACCATCTTCGGTTTGAAGGAGGAAGAAGAATGCACCCCTCATCTTGTGCATCACACCGGCCGTGACAAACCGTTTACGTTCGGGATTCTCTGTTGGACCACTACGCCGGGGAATCGGTACCCTAAAGGCATCTTGGTTTGAGTGTCGGTACGTGACGCTGTCCTCAGCACAAACCAGGACTCCGCTAGGGCCATCGGCACCTCCGGGCACCTGGAAAAGCATCGACGACGTGCGGTCGACAGGGTCTGCCCACTTGCGCACGACATGATTCAGTCCTAGGTCCAGTTCGTAGTACACTAGAAGCTTCTCAGCTTCTTCGAACGCCTGACCCGTAGGATCCTGATCAGACTCTGAGTAGTCCACCTCAAGCGCCGCAAAGATCGGGTTTTCATACCCTACATCCAATGCCGACATAGCAAAGACTAGTGTCTGTGGCTTGTGTGCTTCAAGCGGTGAAGAGATCGTCAACTCGGCCTGCGAGTTCCGATTCAGAACATAAACGAGCTTATTCTTCTCAACAGATGCAATGAGACAAGCTCTGCCTTTTGGATCAACCGCTAGATATTGGCCCGGGATCACACGGCGGACACCAGATTTGCCAAATGTCTCCAAGTGGATACGGTTGAACCGATTCTGGGAGGGCACATACTCAATGATAGTGATGCGTCCAGAGTCGGAACCAATGATGATGTAATCTAGATGCACCTTTCAGCAAAAGTCAAGGACTAGCACCCAGCGTCAACGTTGCTGACCGGGGCACGTCCCACCTCCAAGGTGGTCGGCTCGGCAGTTAAGGATCGTGCTGCCCGGAAGCTTGAAGAATCACTAAGATGATCTCGGAATCACACCAAGGGGAATGTCGAACATACCTTTATTACTCCCAGCTAGTCGGAAAGCAGCCAGAGAGCGAATGATGCCAAAGACATCTTGGGAAAAAAGCGGGGTGACTTTGCCCTGAGTGGGATCGGGACGATGGATAGTGAGCTTTGACCCCGACGCGGTGACAATCTGCTGTTCCTTGGTACCGGCAAACTGACCCAAGATGGCCTGTGTAACAGCAGTAGGCGGCTGGATTGTCAGAGAGTACATGAACATATGCGAGGTGGTAGCCATGATGGGTAGCTAGGCTCCTTCCAAGCCTGGAGCAGAGACGATGCTGTGTTTTGTTTACTGCACAATTGCAACCAAAGTTGACTTTAACGTGATACCATTCCCATTGCTGCAGATATAGAGCTTGAGGAAGAGGACTCTCGAGAACGAGTGTCCTCGCAATGGGTTTGCGTGGGAGTCTTGAGAGCAAGACGCGACAGTTCACCCGATTGTGTCCTAAGGAGAAAGTGAAAATTCCGGTGGGAAGAGAATGAAGCTACTCTCGTTTGACATGTTTGTTCTGTATCACGTGCACAGTATTGGTAATACCTCCCACCTCAGTTCTTCGCACATTTTTCCCAACACTATCGCGGTATGTAAATTACCCACAGCGCAATAGGTCTGTCCCGCATTCCGAAAAGGCGGACGATGGGTTTCTGCCACCTTCTACCTTTTCCGTTCCGACTGACGCTATCAGTAACTGGTAGCCTGTGCCGAGAAGTGGCATTGTTCACTACTACTACTTACTGCCGCTATTCTGTTGCTCACTTACTCTTTACTTCATCCCCTTCCTGCATACTCTCATTCTCCGACGGACTAATTGAATATATATCACCATCCTTCACTTTATCTGGGGACTCGGTTTTGTAACGACCCTTAATCTAAGCCCCTCCTCCCCCTCGGTCTACTCCCCGAAATTACGTTATAATGGCTGATGACACCGCTACGGCGGACGACTCGCCCGTCACCTTCAATATCAAGTCCTCAAATGATGCGAAATTCACCATCACACTTCCATTGTCTGCGCAAGTGTCAGAGTTGAAAGAAAAGCTTGCAACGTCGGAATATGCGGATACCCCGGCAGAGCGTCAGCGCCTAATCTACTCGGGAAGAGTGTTGAAAGATAATGAAACTCTGGCTACGTATAAGATCAAAGATGGACACACTATCCACCTGGTAAAGAGTGCCGCTAGCAATCAGCGTCAGGCCGGTACTTCACAGGCTGCCTCGGCCTCCACGCCGTCAGGCGCCTCTGCTACTCCGGCCGCTGGTGTCCCCACAAACCTTGCGGCTGGCACAGGTAACAACCCACTGGCCGGTTTGACTGGCGCACGATATGCCGGTTTTGCGCAACTTCCAGGAGCGGGAATGTTTGGCCCAGATGGTGGCGTAAGTGATCAACTGCATAAAATTAGCCCACTGAACGATGCTAATCATGACGTTTAGATGGGCCCCCCTCCTGATGCCGACTCTATGCTCCATATGCTCGAAAACCCTCAATTCCAGTCTACCATCAATGAAGCTTTACAAAACCCAGCGATGATTGATATGATGATTCAACAAAACCCCATGTTGCGCGAAATGGGTCCCGGCGTGCGGCAAATGATGCAGAGCCCTGAATTCCGCCGTATGCTTACCGATCCTAATTCGCTTCGCCAGGCGATGCAACTTCAGAGAGCCATGGGTGGTGGTGGTGGTGGGCTTGGTGGTGGTAGCGCATTTCCTGCTCCAGGGGTCACAAACACAACACCAGAGGAAAGCCAGAATGGCCAAAATAACAATGGCGCCACTCCAGCCCCTGGCGCGCCCGCGTTCAACCCATTCATGCCCCCAGGCCTTGGAGCAGGGAACCCTTTCGCTGCCCTTTTCGGCGGTAATCCAGCAATGGGCGGCGCGAACCCACCGAGTACATCAACTGCGACGGGTACCGGTCAGACTGAGACTACACAGAGAGCCGCTGGAGATGTTGCTGGGGGAGATACTACCACAGGAGAGGGTCAAAATCAACAAAATGCTCAGAACCCATTTGGGCTCCTTTTCAACCCCGCCATGTTCGGGGCACAAGGCGGTCAGGCGAACCCTTTCAATCCCCAACAAAATCCTTTCCTTCGCGATCCCGCTCTATTGTCGCAGATGATGCAGGCAATGGGCGCACCACCAGGAGAAGCTGGCGCCGGTGGAGTTGGCGCCAATCCCTTGGCGGCACTTCTCGGAGGCAGTGGATTTGGGGCTCCCCCTCCACAGGACAACCGACCACCTGAGGAAAGGTATGCAGAACAGCTTCGCCAGCTCAATGATATGGGATTCTATGAGTTTGAGAGGAATATCGAAGCGCTGCGACGAGCAGGTGGCAGTGTACAAGGCGCAGTGGAATATTTGTTGAGCCATCCTTCTTGAGTTCTCACACTGATCTGTAATGGCGTGTTGGCCAAACGGCCTTATTTCGTGGAGCGATTGTTTTCATTATTTAGCCCCGTACGGAGTACAGCACTGGTATGGGAGAAGCACCCAGAGTTAAACCAATATGAAACTCACCTTTATAAGCGTAAGTAATTCCCACATTAATATATTATACTGAGCCAACCCCATTCATTCCTTAATATTAACCAGACGAGCAGCTCAGAGTCTACTTGTACGTAGCTGTAGCTGAGCTTAGTAAGCAGTCCTGCAAGAATAATTCAATTATAGTAGACTGTAGAAGCGTGCGTCCGGGCAAACACGTTCCTAATCTGAATCTACCATTCAGATGCCTCAGATCGCACCTATATAGCTTCCCGCCGTTACATAGCCCCCCGTTCCTTCCAGGATTTTTCACTGGACTACCTATTCAAGCTCAACTACAGTGCTTTCCAGCTCAGCTTCTCCATTTGACAATGCCGCACCGCGCATTAGCCCCGGAAAGATGGCCGGTCCAATGACTGTGAACCGGGCCTTCTTGCCAGGGACTGGTCGAAGAACCATTGGCATTTGACACCCATGGAGGACCCAAACCTGGTCCCCCGGCTCTACCTTAAACACTCTGTCCAGAGACCCGAGCCGCCGGCATTCAGTTTCGACGAACACGGATTTTTCGAGTTCGATAAAAAGAGGCTTGCACATAAACTGATATTTGGTCAGAAAGTCACTCCTTGGCCTAGAAGCAAGGTCCCAGAGCGTCAGCGTGTCCTGACCAACCTGCTCCGCTGCTACACGAATGGCACGGAGTAAAGCGACCGTTGTCTCCTGCGTCGGCCTCTAAATTTTGATGTTGATAATGTTGGCGATACCTCTTTTCTGAAACCCAACCGTGTAGAAGTATAGTCACATCCTCCCTTTCGTACAGTGGTTCGTGGCCAGTATCTTCTGGCCAGAGTCTTCGGCAGTGCTCTTCCAGGATCTAGTACCACTCAAGTATGGGCAGCTCGTAAAAATCCTCCATTGGTCCAATAAATCCGATTGTGTCTACCAAGAGACCTTGGACAAAGAGAACCCGGCTCTTCAAGTCAATGGAGGCGTTCCTTGCTGTAATAGAGCCACAGGCCCGGCTCGCATTGACTCGGCTCCATCTGACAAGCTGATGCGGCATCCAGGTTGGGAAGTCATCCCCTCGGGAGGCAGCATAATACGGGCCCCTATCAGAGAAACATAAGAAGTCGATACTCTTGTGCCTGTCTATGAAGAGACTGAAAACCTGCAAGTAGATCTCGATGACAGGTGCGGCGTAGTCGACCCTCACCTTGCTGCTGCCCATCAAAGACATTCCGCTGGTAATATATGTTGATTTCTTTGGCCAGGATGAGCTCCTGCTGGGCCCACAGCCTTTGCCAGTACGGATTTCGAAAAACATCGGCAACTGGATACCAGTAGGACGGATCATAGTCATCAAGCTCGATTTCCTTACCGAGACGTGCAAGGTCTTCGCATCCATTGGCTGCACGCTGTGATCCAGCCAAGCGCAGACAACCTGTGCACATGAGTATATGCTCCGCATCAGCTTGATCTGGTGTGCCTTTTCCGTATTGTTTGGCTGGTTGATATATATGGCATCCGTCCAGAGAACACGAGGCTTGTCAGGCTGGCGCAGGTCGTCCAATGCCTTCCTCAGGTTCCGACGCACAGGAAACGCCCTGTGTCCATTAATGGAGATGTTATAGGTTGGTTGAGGTGGCCCCCAAGTGTAGCTCAAGGCTTCGAAGCTGGGGCTTTCATCCAAAGAGACGTTGAAGAGGTGCCCGACCACCTTGCTACCAGGCTTTCCTGGCCAGAGCTCAAATAGCCTGATTTCACGCTTCGCAGGATCCAGGGGTTCGTATTGAAAAGTTCTGTCATTCTTCGACTTCCTTCCCTTGGTATTCGATCTCTGCTGTGGCACTGAAGCTCGGGATTGTCTCCTTGGTCGTAGGCGATCCACAACCTGAGGGATGGCAGGTTGAAACCGAGGTATAAAATGACAGCTGCTATAACCAGCAAATGGGCCCTCGCTGTTGGAGCCCATGACAGCTGCGGATACTATATATTGGGTAGGTATATACTGGAGGAAGTTTATACATGTATTGAATGTGTGAATAATTTATTTTGTCCGTGAGCGATCAAGATCCTTCGAGGTACTGAGAACTGGCCAAGTCTAAAGTACCGCTAGAACCAGCCTTGTTCGGTTATATGATACTCCGGTGATACAACATCCCAGGACTGCACTCTTTCCATCTTTAGGCAGCTGTTTTCTTCGGAAAAGACGAATGGTCGGGCAATTTGGGACGACCACAGAGCCTGGAATGTGTGGCGTTGCGATTAGGGGTGGAGAGCGATAACGACGAGGAAGACGACGACGATAGTTGAAGATAACACAATAGATGTTTCTATTTTTATGCAGGATCGGACCCAAGGAAATACTTTTCAAAGCTGCCAGTCCACTGTAGAACCCCGTATCTACTGGAGTAAGTATGAGTCCTTGGAGGGTTCTACGCAAAGCTGGCGGTTAATGGAGAGCCCCCTGTTTCCTTAGGGTCACAATATAATCCAATCAAAAATTATTCCCGGGCACTCCACTCTCAGTACCTAGTAGCTTGTTCAATACTACTACTAGTACATACCTAGGAGACTTGGACAAATCCTTATAAAGCTACATCGCTGCTTACTATACCGTACCTGATCACCTGACGCCCGGTCCCACCTGACGCCCGATTTTTTGATATACACCGACTTTTCGATACTTTTCAAACCACCATAACTCTGCCAATATGGCTTCAATTGAGGCAGCGATAGCTGAGATCGAAAGCTTAAAACCAGGAGAAATAATAAATTACACAAAAACTGCCAAGAAATATAGTATAAGCAGGTCTACACTATCTCGACATCATCGTGGTGTTCAACATACTCGAGCAGAGTAATATAATAATCAACAAATCCTCAACAATAAGCAGGCCAAAATACTTATAAAATAGATCAATAATCTAACTAATAAAGGCTTTCCGTCTATACTTGAAATACTACGAAACTTTGCTAAGGAAATTACTGGAAAGAAGCCAGGAAAACAGTAGCCAACTCGATTTTTGAAGAAATATAATAATCAGCTTACTGCCCGCTATACAACTGGAATTGACTCCCAACACAAGCGAGCTGATTCGGTGTATAATTACTCTCTTTACTTTGAGCTAATAGCCAAGAAGCTCAAGGAATATGATATACAGCCTGAAAATATATATAATATGGATAAGAAAGGTTTTCTTATCGGAGTACTATTAAAAGGCAAAAGAATCTTTTCTTGTTCTAAATTTGAGCAGGGGAGATTTAAGCAACACCTTCAGGATGGGAATAGAGAATAGATTACTACAATTGCTTGTATCTCTGTAGATAGAAGCTTTCTTTCCCCGGGTCTTATATATCAAGCCGTCTCAGATAATATACAGGATTTCTGGCTTCAAGATTTCAGTTCTGGGTATTATATATACTTTTTTGCATCATCTCCTAGTGGCTGGATAAATGATAATATTGGATATACCTGGCTTACTAATATCTTTGATCGAGAAACTAAGGAGAAGACTCGAAGATATTGGAGATTTTTAATCCTTGATAGCCACGGATCTTATATAACAATGAAGTTTATTAACTTCTGCAATAAAAATAAGATTCTTTTAGCTATCTATCTATCTTATTCTACACATACGCTACGGCCACTGGATATCAGTATCTTTGGTCCTTTGTCTACAGCATACAGTGCTGAATTAGAGCAATTTTTACATAATTATCAAGGGATAAGTTATATCACAAAACAAGACTTCTTTCAACTCTTTTAGCCAGCGTGGAATACTGCTTTATCAAAGAAAAATATTGAAAGTGTATAGAATTCTGTTGGTTTATACCCTTGGAATCCTGAAAAGATATTGATATGTTTTACTAAAAAGAATAGTACTAGACTATTATTAAGTGATTCGTCTTATTCTATCCTGAGTACGGAAGATTGGAGATATATTGAAAGGCTTCTTCAGCAGACTATTTCTGATATCTACAATAAAAAGGCTCAAAAGCTCAGTTCTACTATGTATTCACTTTCTACCGAGAATATTCTACTTAAGCTATGTTGTTCAGGTCTTGAAAAGGCTCTAAAGAACGAACAGAAGAAATATTAGTATAGGAAACTATTTCTATCTGATTTATATACTTTGGAAGGTAGTAATATAATTTTTTACTTACCTAATAAGATTCAAGAAGCTCGGGATCTTTAGGCTCAGAAAGATAAAGCTATACAACTTAATAAAGCTGCTAAGCAAGATAGAAAGCTTCGTCGGGAACAGGAAAAGAAAGAAAAACAGCTTCTATTAGAAAAACACAAGAGAAATAGAGCTTTAAATAAGAAGATATATCAGCAGATAAACGTTCAAAAGTAATACCAAAAGAAAGAAGAAAAGCTTATCAAAAGAGCTAATCTACAGCTTCAAAATAATATAAATTAGGCTGCTAAAGGCAAAAATAAGATCCCTATACCTTCAACTCCAAAAAATATAAAGGATACTAGTAATCAAAATAAGGTTGTTGTTGCAGAGACTTCATATAATATAAATCGTCGGAGTAGACAGATCCGCCTACCTGCGCGCTTTCGGGATCATTAAAATAGTTATATATATTCTATATAGTTTAAATACTAAACCACTAAAAGATCACACGATGATAAACAATATATGTGGTTGTAGAGCTTCATCTTTAACTCTGGTTTTCATAGGAAATCGCGCGTCAGGTGGAGGCGGGCGTCAGGTGATCAGGTACGGTAACTGTTACGCTCCAAATAGCCTAAAACACCCACACAAACAGTTTGATTGATCAATATTTCCTCCAGATCTGGCTTATACTACACTACATACCGCGGATATATTCCCTGTACCACCTGGAATGTCTCATGGCTTAACAGAAAGGGAGTTAGTGTAACAGAATTTCATGGTTTTAAATGTTATGATAGTCTAGGTCTGTCTGATGTCTTCCCGTTCCCGGTTGAAAGTGGCTTTTTGTTGCATTCAGAGGGACGGCGGTGAGATGATCATTTTAGGAATGGACGCTAAACCTATTGTGGACGGAATCGGCCGGACTGTTCGATGCCCTTGAATTTAATCTCCCCTGCAACCACTCAATTAAATACTTTTAACTACTCCTCCGTACTACTAATTGCTGCTATCCTGTCCCCATCCACTTTACCCCCCTGACACCCTACCCTCCCCCCTTCCCTCATCCTTATTTATTATCTATCTACTTCTATTCGATACATAGGCATTTCATGCCGATTACACTCGTTACATCGATTCGATCTGTTATATCTCGGATTTTCCATTCTCCGTCGCATTCTGGACCGCCGGTTCCTCCAGACAGCATACATACACCTTGTCTTGTTCCACATTAGCCTTTACCCGATGCTTGTTCATCCTTCTTAACATATTACTTTCGGCATCGCGCATAAACTTACTATTTACGTCCTTCTTTTTCTTCTCTAAGTGGCCTGTTTAATGGGGAACGGTCTAGTGGTAACTTGGGTTGGGTTTAACTAAGTTACTGATCTACACTTGTGATTCACGTACCCGCCACGTACATCCGAATTTTGTTGGTGCATGCTTCCTTGATAGCACCTGTTCTCTCTAATAGCGAGGGGTAGCCCCCATTTCCCCCATCACCTCAATAATGGAGCTGAGACGCTTGTGGTGCCCTAATCAATGGGCTTTGTGGTTGTTATTCGTCTCATACTCCTGCGCGTTCTACATACCTGGTAAGCTTTGATCAGCCTGTTAGGCCCATCAGGCTCTACAACTGACACGTTTATGTTTGTAAAATAGGCTACTCAGTCAAACGTTATACTGATGACGAGTCCATCCCTCTTCTTGTGAACAAAATCTTTTCCGACCATACGCAGCTTCAGTACGCCTACTATGACCTGCCTTTCGTCTGCCCCCCGAGCGGGAAAATGCATGGTGGCTCACCCTTCGGTTCGGGTCATAGCGTTTCGCTTAACTTGGGAGAAATCCTACGTGGCGATCGGATAATGACGTCTGACTTTGAACTGCAGATGGGAAAGAATGTAGAATGTCAAGCCCTCTGCACTGCGGAAGTAGGGCGCAAAGACGTCAAGTGGGCTCGTCAGCTTATCAACGAAGGCTATGTAGCAGAATGGATCGTGGACAATTTGCCTGGAGCGACTAGCTTTGTCACCGTCGACCGTAGTCGCAAGTACTACGCAACTGGGTTCAAGCTTGGATCCCGGGACTTCTCACCTATCGACGGCAAACCACATTACTATATCAATAACCATTTCACCATCGTGGTCCGCTGGCGGTCGGCACCTGAAGGTGGCAAGTTAATTGTTGGTTTCGAGATTTATCCGAAGAGTATTCGCGCCGAGGACCATGTTGAGAATGGCTGCCCCAAACAAGTACATGAGCACCACGACGGCCTGGAGCTATACATCCCTCCAAACACAGCAAAACTCCGTGAGATGTATCCTGGCTCTTCATATATTCCGGAAGACGACGGGGTTGACGACGGAACTACACTGAAGATTCCGTATACATACTCCATTTATTTCAAGGAGGACAACAGCATTGACTGGTCCAGTCGATGGGACCTCTATTTTAGCAACCAAGACGATAGCTCTATGACGCACTGGTTTGCGATTCTCAATTCCTTGACTATATCAAGCGTTCTTGGGGTGGCTGTATATGTTATCTGGGGACGAACAGTCCAAGGAGATATCAAGGGGCGAGGGGACGGGGCAATGGATGAAGCTAAACTGAAGGCTCGAAGCACAGCCAAAGCAAAGACTCATGAAAGAAAAGGGGACGGCCTCTTGGACCAAGGATCGGATCTTGAGCGGGATGCAGATTTGTCATCCGACGACGAGGGTGTCGAAGATGTCAGCGGTTGGAAACTCCTTCATGGTGACGTTTTCCGAGTGCCGGAGTACAGCGGCCTTCTTGCACCACTTGTTGGCTCTGGCATGCAACTATTGTTTATGACCTCGGGACTTCTTCTGCTCAGTTGCCTGGGTATCTTAAACCCCAGCTTCCGTGGCGGATTCGTTAGTGTTGGAATGGGTTTGTTTGTATTTGCAGGCCTCTTCTCCGG